AGAGGCCCTGAAGGGGAAAAAAAAAAAAAAAAAAGGAAAAAAAGTCCGAGCATTGGGTAATCCTCCAAGGCAGGATGGCTCTGGTCATTAAATACCGCGAGGCGCTTGTCACAGCTGAGTTCCCCGTGTAATAAAACACCAGGTATAGCGAGAGCTGGCAGGGGAAGCGAGGAGGGGAACCCGGCAAAAGGAGCATTTTTCTTGGGGGAGGGGGTGCCGGGGTGAACGGCGCGGCGTTCCCTGCGGCCAGCAAATTGACTCCGGGGTGGTTTGGTCTTTGAAAGATTGACAAACTTCCACTTCCAACGTGTCGGGCCGCGCTCTCCTTTGTGGCCGGAGCAGATAAATCCGTGTGTGAGAGACACCGGGGGGGGGGGAAGGCATTTAGGTCCAAGTGCCGGATTAAAAAGAACACTGTCTTTAAAGGTCAAGGGTTTGAAGGGTCAGTCTGCTCCTCTAAAAAAAACAATTAATGGGATAGAAAATTTGTCCTCTCGGTGAACTCCCGGTTGCCTTAGCAAAGGGAGCACAATGCGAGAATTTCAACTGGACGATGTAATTTTCGAAGTTATTGTAAAGGCGGGCGGTATCGGCCGGGGAGCGGAGGGCTCCCAGCTCGGGAGCCGCGTCCCGCTCCAAGCATAGGCAGAGGGGCAAGGCGGGGAGGGGGGAGGAAAATTTACCTTAAACGACGATAATCTGCCATGGGTTTTTTTGCAGTCCGCGGTTGAATCTCCGGCAAGAGAATGTACATTTTTTTAGCAGACAGCCAAGATGCCGTGTCTTTACACATGACCACTTTTTTTTTTTTTCCCCAGGAAAATCCTTAGCATCTTCACAGACTTTTCCAAGAGAATGCCTTTCAGAACCGCTGTTGAATTACAAAGAAGTATTTATTGTAGGAGGTGATTAATGATTCTCGCTAAAATTGCTATTTGCAGCGCGATTTCATTTTTCTTTACAATGGGAGCAAACCAGGTTTATACGCATAGGCTGCACACGAAAGAAATCCTGCATCGCCAGTTAACACGTTTCAGCTGGAATTTTGCTCGGTCCTGCTAATTTGGGCCCTAAATATATTGAGGGATTCTCAAGCCATAAACAGAAACGAGGAGTTACACTCTTGCGGATAGCAGTTACCTCACCCCCAGCTATACTTTTCTCCCTCTATCAGGAGGCAGCTGGCAATTTAGGATTTAGTAAGCCCCTATACGAGAGTGGAAGGTGTGCTTTTCGGGCCTGCTCCTCGGTCAGGTTTGGAGGCAGCGGTGTTTGCGGAGGGGGTTTACAGCCGCCCCCCTCCCTGACGCTGAACGTGCTCTGCCAGGGGCACTGCACGTTTTTCTCCGGGACGGTCCGTGCTCCTCGGCCAGGCGGGGAAGCTGCCAGCCCCCCCAGGGCCTGGTGCCTGATCCCTCTCGGATCTGTTCAGGTAAGAAAGTAAGTTATGGCCTTCAGACCTTCCCTGGAAGATTTAGGGGCACTTGAGCTCCTCTCCAAGCCTTTTCCCACCCGGCTCAGTGCTACTCCCTTCTGTGGAAGCCCTGAGCAAGGCTCCCCGTCGGCAGCTCCGCTTTGCCTGCGCTCCTCAGCTGCCTGGGAGCAGCGAGATGCACAGCCTGAGCTGGAACCGCTCGAACCCCATTTTGCCACAGCCTTTTCGACAATCTCGGTCAAAAAACCCTCTTGAGCTATACCCAAATTCATGTTTCTGCCGAGGCTTTCTCGACGCATTTCGAAATAGTCTCAAAAAGAAAATAAAAGGAAACAGAAAAGGCAGCTTCGAGAAGCTTTAGATTACCGCCCAAGTATTCCCCTCCAAAAGCGCCAGCCAGCGGAAGAACCATAATCGGGTGAAAACGAACGAATAAATCACGACTGGCTAGAGATTTAAAGCTTTATCATGGGGAGCATATGTGACTTCCTCCAGCAAAACCGGCCGTGGGAGCTTCTTGGCTCCCAGCAGAAGCACAGTTTCCCTGCAAGGCATCTGACAGCAGTCTCACGGACGGCGATGGAGAGCCGGACTGGTTCTGCCCCACTCCACTGCAGAGAACCCCACTCACCTACGAACCGCAGCGGCACCTTCCCTCGTCCCACCGAGCGCTGTTCCCCAGCCAGGAAACGAGGAGTCGGGGTCGTTTTTCACTACATTTAAAGCAACCATTACCTTACCGATGAGACGAATCCAAGTTTAAACAACAAGTTAAACCTTTGTTTTCCATCCCTGGTGCCAACACAACACAAGGTGGATGAAACAGCACTGGACTTGTGTTTTCAAGCGTTTAATTCTTTCGTACAGAATAACCTTTATTACCAGCATTTGGCACTGTTATACATTACACCAAAAATCCACCAATTGTACATGGACCCAAACTATTTAGACGGTGCCAAATATGAAGACAGCAACAGCCTTTATAGCAATATTTCTTTAAATAAATGCGAGAGGGAATGTGGAGAAAAAAAAGAATAGATCACAGCTACTGCGGGGGCTACGCTTAGAACCAGTTAAGTTACCTTTGACACATAAAACATTTTCCTTCAAACAGCGTGAGGGGACATTTTTCGTCAGTCTTTAACCCCCCGCGGACGTGCTCGTTCTCTCTGCCGTGTCGGTGTGTGTGCGATACGTGCGTGTGCACCCTCACGCAGACACACACACACGCGTGCGCGCACGGGAGTCCACGAACACGCCACGAACCAGCGCTATTCAAGTCATTGACTTGCACGAGTGTCTCACGAGGTCTTTGCTTTGTTTTAACCGCCTTTTATTTTTAAAGTGTTCTCTAAAAAAAAAAAAAAAGAAAGAAAAAGGAAAAAAGAGTCCATCTTAGGTACAGAGAATTCGTCCGTGACAGCATCCAGCCCTCTCTTACACCGAGGGCAAGAGAGCGTTTCCATAAATAGAAAAAAAATGACGGGCATGGAACCATTATCTATATACAATGTAGACAATCGTCCGGGTTTTGGTTTAAACATGTGCCCGTTCTTGGGCACGTCTCGTCTTCCTTTCCTGCTCCTGCTTTGTTTTACACAGTTGTTTGGTCCAAGCGGCCAGCCTCCACCACGGGGCAGCTGGAAAACCCCAATGGGTAGGTAGGTATATATATATATATATATATATAAAACAACAACAACAACAAAACCAAACCAAACCCAAGTATTTATCGCGCTTTGCGTTGGGTGTAGCCCCGTCGAGCTGGTGGGGGTGGACCTGTGTCTGTGCTTTGGACTGCTGGCTCAGCGTGGACTGGTTTGAGGAGCGCATCTTTGTGTTAGGCAGTTTATGGTCTTTCTTCCACTTCATGCGCCTGTTCTGGAACCAGATCTTGACCTGGCGCTCGGAGAGGCAGAGAGTGTGCGCGATCTCGATGCGTCGCCTCCTGGTCAGGTAGCGGTTGAAGTGGAACTCCTTCTCCAGCTCCAGAACCTGCTGTCTGGTGTAGGCGGTGCGAGACCTCTTGGGCTCCCCTCCGTTGTAGTTGGGGTTGACTGAAACGGGCACACACGGGCGCGCACCCACACACGCGGGGGGAGGGAGGAGAAAGGGAGAGAGGGTGGGGGGGAAAGCGAGGGAACATCATCATTATATAATAACTTGACACCAGGTTCGCAGAAGATACATAAACGGCGAGAAAAATTGTTTCGCAGCCTATCGACAGTGGGGACAATCGAGGAGCAATAAAAAATGGTGATGGGCATTTGGGTTAGAAGAAAAGCTTCAAAGACACACAGCCCAGAGCCACTGCAGGGCAATTAAATTTATGGGGGCTATAATTACTGCCCTAACAGTTTGGCGTCTCGTAAATCTTTTGATAAAGGACCCCGGATACAAAAGGTTTCTCACTTTTTTTTTTTTTTATTAGGAAACGCGGAGGGAGAAGGAGGGAAGGAAAAAAAATAAAAGCCACACACGCAACGACCCTTCCCGGCCCCGCGAGCACCCTCCCCCCTTCCCTC